ACCGTATGGCAGCTCCTTGGTTGACTGGGCATCTCACTGGAGGTCTGGGGAAGCTCACCGTCCCTGAGTTTTCCTTTTTCTTGTGCATCTGTGCAAGCAACACTGGTGCTTCCCTCTGGGACCATTTCCCTGTCGTGGCAGTGAAGTTTTCGGCTGGGGTGAAGCGTCTATTTGGAGACCTCCAGGTCTTTTGTAAGCAGCTTGTGGACCATGCTGAGCTTGTTTTCGGGAGGAAATGGGGCATGGGGAGGAGCGTGGATGCTGTGCTTCGACCCTGACCCAGCTCAACTGCTGTGGGATATCAGTAGTCAACAGGCTTTGTTACGTTGAAGCAGAGCTGGTGAGCACGAAGTGTGACATGCTGGCATCCCGGCACACCCTGAACCATCTCTCGGGGCTGGGATGGGGGGTGTCTCCGTGGCCTGTGTAATGCTGAGGGGTGCTTAATCCACGCGGGATGCCTTGGTCCTGCTCCTCACTCGCCCATGGACTCGCTACATAGGACAAATGTTGTGTCATGCCTCAGTTTCCCTGTGCCAGGGGGGAGCTGGGGGTTCGCCTCCTGCCCCGGGGGTGGCTGGAGCAGGGTGGTGCTGGTGGCCGGCAATGCAGGTGCCTGCCGAGCTCGGAGGAGCTCCTGGCCCTTGGGGTGGGAGAGGGAAGGGCAGCATGGGAGCCGTGGGGCACAAATACGATAGGCAGGTCCCCCTAAGGATGGGATGAGCTGAGCTGGTCAATCCAGACCCTACTTTGCAGTGAGATTTTTGGCCTCCATAGTTGTTAAAAGCCAGCCCAGGCACGGTGGGGATCTGACCTGCTGCCAGCCCTGTGAACACAGAGCCCGTGCTGGCCCAGCACACCCCGGCACTGCAGAGCGGGTGATTACATGGATGGTGCTGTGTAGTGATGAAGTAATTAATGACCCGATTATTTGTGCCCTCTAAAGTACGGGGCAGGCTCCATGGGAATGCCTGCTGGAGTCACTAAGTGTAATTACCAGTTAATCAGCAGGGACCTGTAATTATAGCAGTCACAGGGTATTTAAGTATGGAGGGTTTTACCAGAGCTGTGCCCTGCTGCTCTGCTTATCAGAGCCGGGGCACCAGTGATGGGGAGCCACAGCTGCTTGCAGCCACCTCGCATGGAGCCGGACATGCCTTGGAATGGCCAGCAGGACAGTGGGCAACCAAGGACCTGAAGCCAAATTACAGTTTCCCAGAGCCCCTGGGGGATCACTGAGTGCCGGGGCATGACCCTGTCTGTGGATGCCCTGGTCCCATGGGGCATGGTGCTTTGCAGGCGCTGCTCATTTTCCTTCCTGCATCTTTCTTCTGCAGGGACCTGAGCGAGAACTTCATCCAGGCCATCCCCAGGAAAGCTTTCCGTGGGGCCACTGACCTCAAGAACCTGTGAGTCCTGGCAGCGATGGGCATGGGTGGCATGGGAGTTTGGAGTCAGGTCTGGCAGCAGGAGGCATCAGGAGCCACCGGTCACTTTCTGTCTCAGCAATGCTCCCTCTGTCTTCCTCCCACAGGCAACTGGACAAGAACCAGATCAGCTGCATCGAGGATGGGGCTTTCCGTGCCCTGCGGGGGCTGGAGGTCCTGTAAGTGGCCAGGGGCTGGCTGGGGCGGCTGCCGGGAGCCTCCAGCCCACGAGCCCCGTATGGGGTGAGGGTATCCCCGGGTGCTCCCCGCTCACCGAGGCACTGCAGGAACATTCCTGTTGTGCCGTCTCTCCCTGGCCCCAAGGAGGGGCTGAGCAGGGGTCTGGTACCTCTGCTGTGGAGCTGTGCTCCAGGGCCTGATCCTGCCCCAGGGGGTCCACCTGCCTGCAGCTGGCTGTGGAGGGAAGAAACCCTGCCAGGGGTTTAGGCTGTCCCCATCCCTCGCCTCTCTGTCCATCCACCCTGTGCTCCCAGGGGTTTGGTGCCACCTGGACCATCTCACGCTCCCACTTATGGCCTGGCCGCCCTGACCTGCTCCCCTCTGCCTTCCTGCAGGACCCTGAATAACAACAACATCACTTCAATCCCCGTGTCCAGCTTCAACCACATGCCCAAGCTGCGGACATTGTGAGTGCCGGGGCCATGGGGGTGGGAGGGACACCCTGGGCTGGAGTGGGATGTCCCCGGCTCTGCCGGTGCTGGCAGCTCAGCAGTGCCACAACAGCTCCATGGGGAGAGCATGGAGGGGACACCCCTACAGAGCATCCCCAAGTACTGCCAAGCGAGGTGACCTTGGCAAGTGGCACAGGTGCTCTCGGCCTCCTCCGTGTCCCCTTCTGTGTGCCGCCAGCCTTTGGGATGAGCCAGGCTGGGGCAGCCGGAGGGCAGGGGCTGATGGGCAGGACCCGCGGCCACTGACTGCCTCGTCTGCCCGCAGCCGCCTGCACTCCAACCACCTCTTCTGCGACTGCCACCTGGCCTGGCTCTCACAGTGGCTGCGCCAGCGCCCCACCATCGGGCTCTTCACCCAGTGTGCCGCTCCGGCCCAGCTCCGTGGCCTCAACGTGGCCGAGATCCAGAAGAACGAATTCAGCTGCTCCGGTGAGGGGGATGGAAGGCGGCAGGTGCCAGGGCAGGGACTCGGGTGGGGGAGACAACGCCTGTCTCATCGATGCAGCCCACCTCCACTCCCTGCCACGTGCCCCAGCTCAGAGCCTGGATGCACCCTGTGGGCTCGGCTCAGGTCAGCACTGTCCCTGGTGTGGGGACAACATGGGGACAGCACCTCTTTATCAGTGTGATAAAGGGTGCATCCGTCTGTGCCCTTGGAGCTGCGTGCCTTTTGCACAGGGTTGGGGCGCACCAGGCAGGACCTTGTGCACCCACTCAAGGGTGCCAGAAGCTGTCCCAGCACCCCAAGCTGTCACCAGGGTCCCTTCCTTGGGGTGCTGCCATCCACCTGCCTGGCCCAGCTCTTCGTGACTCCCATTCTGGCTGCTTCCCCGGCAGGACAAACGGACCTGGCACGTGCCCAGCTCTGCAGCTTGTCCTCTGGCTC